AGGAAAAAAATAATTCACCCCTTACCAGAATCGTTTGCGAGTGCAGCTCCAGTCTGCCCACCCGGAGCTCGCTGCCGGCACGAGGGTCGAGACGTGGGGCTGGACTGCAAAGGGCCTCTGGAACGCCAGGGGTGGCGCGCTGTCTAATGCTCGGTCGGGGGGGACCCGCACGGGATGCCACGATAATCTCCGAGTGGCACGCAGCCGCGAGCTCACGCCTCGCCAGGTACTCATCCATCACGTAGGAGAGGCCCCGTACTCGGGGTCGGATGGACCCACTGCCTGGATGACGGAACAGGCGAAATCGCAGATCTGCGCGCGGGATCCCAGCAGTGGCACGTCCAGTGCACAAGGAGCGACGGGGCTGCAACAGCGCAGATGGTCCTCGGATAACGTGACTCGACCATCCCCCAGCGCGATAACTCGGCATCTTGATGAGCCTGCGAAGCAGCAAACAAATAGACACGAAGCCAGCAGGGACCGCTAGCAAGGGCAACACATACAGACAAGAGGAAGTCACAAGCAGGGCATACAAGTATGCCTGGCAGGAGAAGAACAGAAAGCGGGCCCGCAAGTCGAGACTGGAAGCACGAGCCGTAATCAAAGGTCGCAGCCAGGGATCGCAAGAAAGACCCCTAAGCGTTCCTCTGCGTTCCTCGTGTTGGTCCTCCCCTTACGGATATCCTTCATCCTACCACTAGTTATCACCATCACCATCACCACCACCACCACCACCATCATCATCATCATCATCATCATCATCATCATCATCATCATCATCATAATCATCATCAACATCATAATCAGCACCATCACCATTATCATAATCATCAGCATCATCAGCATCAAAATCATCATCAGCGTCATAATCATCACCAGCATCGACGTCACAATCATCGTCAGCAACATCATCAGCATCAGCATCAGCATCAGCATCATCACCATCACCATCATCAGCATCATAATTAGCACAATCATCAGCATCATCACCATGATGATCATCATCATCATCATCAGCATCATCATCATCATCAGCATCATCATCATCCTCATCATCAGCAGCAGCAGCATCAGCACCAGCAGTAACATCAGGTTCATCATATTCAGCCGCCACCGCGTCCACCTCAGCCTCGTTATCATCCTCCTCGAGGCTGCGTACAAACCTATGTGCCAAGGCTAAAAAACCTATGTGTCAAGGCCCAGTCCACCTCGTCGTAAAAAACCTTTGTGCGTTCAAAAGGGTCTTTTTTCCACTTTTAACCTAAATTCCTAAATTCCTTTGTTCGGGCTTTTAGATTACTCCTGGTCTCGTTCCTCTTCTCTCGGGCCGCCCCCCCACGCGCCGCCACCCGGGGTCCGCGACGGCGATGGAGATCCGGTGGGGGTCGGGCGCCTCGCCCCAGGCCTTCCCTGGCCAGAGAGGAACCAAAAGATCCCCCCCCACTACATGGCAGTTTTTAATACATAAGATTTTTGAATATCAGATTTTTAATGCACGATCAATTTATGAATAACTTTACGCATGAACTCATCGTTGTTTTTAATGATAGATCCCTGTGCTTTTAATACTTGATCCGCACGCGGAACATGTATTAAAACCGGCACTGTACAGGCCACGCGGCATCGTGCCGCGCCCACCGCTCGCCGTCCTCTCGTCTCCACGCGCGCGCCCCTCAGGCTCCTGGTTGCCACTGCGCTCGACACACTTGTGCCCCTCGTCCCTGATGCATTGTCTCAATGCTCTTATCCCCTTGCTGCAACTACTGCTCCTGCTGCTGCTGCTGCTGCTGCTGCTCCTCCTCCTCCTCCTCCTCCTCCTCCTCCTCCTCCTCGTCCTCGTAGTCCTCGTCCTCGTCATCGTCCTCGTCCTCGTCCTCGTCCTCCTCCTCCTCTTCCTCCTCCTCCTCCGCCCCCTCTCCTCTGCGCGCCTCAGGGTTCCGCTGCACCTATTGCCAGGGCCCCACCCTGCCGGGCCACGCGGGCGGGGGGGTCTACGACCCAAGGACCGCCTGGCGACTTATACACCATCGCCGGCGCTAGTGCCCTCTCTATGGCCGTGGGAGCCAGACGCAGGCTGCCCGACGCAGCGCGGGTGCCCGGACAGCCGAGTTCCCTTGAGAGCGTGGCGCCCCCCACGACACCCCTCCCCAGATGCGCCGCCGCAGAGGGCCCCGGATGCCCAAGAAACGCCAGGCGCAAGCTGACGCCTTTGAGGCACGCCTGCAGGTGACGGGCAAGAGCTGGACCAAGGAAGACAAGGAGGGCACCATCGAGGGCCACTGTGGGATAGGCAGCCAACATCTGCGCGACGAGGTGCCGCTGTCAGCCCAATGCCTTCTGGGCCGAGAGCGCTGCCGCAGCCTATCCTCGGCCAGACCTCCTCGGGCTCCACGCTGCGGGCCTGCGCTGCCGGCGCCTCCTCCCCGGCTCTGCCCGCTGCGAATGCCCTGGCCCGCCATTTGAGCTCGGCCATCTCGTGCTCCAGGAGGAGGAGGAGGAGGACGAGGAGGAGGAGGAGGAGGAGGAGGAGGAGGAGGAGGAGAGGAGAGAGGGGGGGGGGAGGAGGAGGAGGAGAAGGAGGAGGGAGGGAGGAGGAGAGGAGTGAGGAGAGAGGGGGAGGAGGAGGAGGAGGGAGGAGGAGGAGGAGGAGGAGGAGGGAGGAGGGAGGAGGAGGCTGGCTGGCGCTGCCGCCTCGTGCTCCGCCGCCACGACCTCTGCGGCCGCGCACGGTGCGGACCCCGGCAGCTCCGCGGGCCGGCCGGGCTGCCCCCCCTGTCCAAGCAGCAGCCGGGCCGCTCGGGATCGGTGGGGGGGGGGCGGGGGGCGCGCGCGGCGGCCTGCCCGAGGGCAGGACCCACGAGTGAGGGTGCCCTGCCAGCCCGACCAGCCCAGTGCGTCGGGGAGGAGCCTGTCTGTCTTGCTGTTGTGTTTTTCGACCGGAAGAGGAGAGGGAGGGAGGGGGGGGGGGGGAGGAGGAGGAGGGGGGGAGGAGAAGGAGGAGGAGGAGGAGGAGAGGAGGAGGAGGTGGAGGGGGAGGAGGAGGAGGAGGAGGAGGAGGAGGAGGAGGAGGAGGAGGAGGAGGAGGAGGAGGAGGAGGAGGAGGTGCGCTCTCGACCCGCGCATTGAGGATTGTCTGTCTTGCTCTCTGGACGCTGCTCCTGCCCGTGAGCCGGCTGCACTCGCACGTCGCTCCTGGGAGGAGGGGGGGAGACACAGCGCGGCACGGTCACGGCTCGCCATCATCGCTCGGACGTCCATTCCTCGTGTATGTTTCGGTGTTGTGTGCGCGTGCGCGTGCGCGTGCGCGTGCACGTGCGCGTGCGCGTGCGCGTGCGCGTGCGCGTGCGCGTGCGCGCGCGCGTGCGCGTGCG